CGTTGAGTTTGAGATAAGTAATAAAAAGAGAAATCCGAGACCTCATTTATTCCTCTAGCCCAAGATTGCCAAGCTTGAAGTCTACCATGAATGTATTTGCAGTTCAACCCTCAAGAGACACTTAAAAATAATAAAGAGGACTTGATCTGCATATGTTTTGTATGTCCGCCACTTAACTGCGATCATTTTGCGAGAACGGATCCTTCTCAATTTACTCAATGATTTTCTTACTTCCTTTTAATTCAACTGATTTTGACATAATATAGTGTAAGTGTAAGAACCTCGTTGTGTGATGTGTGATCGCATACACGTCACCATATATGAGTGTCTTATGAAAGCGCGACAATGTTGGATGAGTGCAAGGAATGTGTGAAGGAGTAGTTTCGAGCAATTATTTATACTTACGAGAGGAAATAATGTAATTTCGTACAATATATCGCTCGAAATAGAAAGGATAGCAACAAGAAAAAGATGCCAAGCCCCGCCAAGAAGACATTAAAGAGTTCTTCTCCTCTTTCCCTCCTTCTCCTTTCGAAATAAATCTATGTTTCTATGAATTGTGGAAGTTTTTTTTGCATGCTACCGAAACTTTTCTTCTGGTCCATGTTAGACTTTCAGTTTGACAAGCTTGCTCTAGACAATGCATTTTTTTTTTTTTTTTATTTCAACGAAAGAAAAGTACACAAATATCAATTTATTGATTGAAATTCAACATCTCAAAAAAAAAAAAAAAGATTTAAGTAAATAATTGATCGCCTTTTTTACGCTTTATAAACATTTCTCAAACCTAATATATTTGGTGCGATTGGAGAAATTTTGTCTTCCGATTGAATATATTTATCTTTTCTTTTTTTTTTGTATGAGCAATCAGCGAGCGCTTGTCTTTTGCAGGCGTACCACGTGATGGACAGGCAAAAGAGCAACCTAAAGACGTGGAAGTAGTTGCAGCTGTAAGTGTCACGCCTTTATAGACGCAGCGTAAGAAAAATGTGAAGCAGGTGCTGTTAGTTGCGACTCGTCATTAATTTTTAAAAAAATTTACTTAGAAGCGCGTGAATATATATTTCAATGGAGTAAAGGATAGTACTAAGAGCGTAGCGTGATATGTAAGCGAATTTATTTATTGTTTCATCCTACAACAATGCTTAACAAAATCGAAGGGAAAAGTTTTTACAACGGAAACATTATGAATAGGTCAAGTTTAACAAAATGAAAGGTTAAGCTTAATTGCAGAAGAACCTTAGAAAAAGTGTTACTCCGCCGCCCCCTAGCTATGTATATAATTGGTTCTTATTACCATGTAGGCGTAGCCTAGTAGGTTAGGGTCGTGACTATCACGGCCCTAATATCTCAATTGCGGTAGAGTTCACATTGGTCGTAACTATAGTGAGTGCTCAGTCGGTCAAGGCTTAACACTTATCGAATGGCCAGGGGCACTCACCAAATTGCGGCCTCACTTTTTTCTGACCGGCATCGTGTTACACAAATGCGTGATATACCCCGAGTGATTGCGTTAAATAAGAAAAAAAAAAAATTAATAAAAAAAAGGATTAATAGCGGCTTCGTATCAATAAGATGCGATGAGAGAGGGAATAATAACCGATTTCAATATGATCGGTCTAGTGAGGGAACATATCACAACCATGTTTCTTTTAAGCCACGTTGTTGTCATTCTAGTCACGAATTTTCGAATAAAATTTTTTGCAATTCATCTAAATTCGTATTCCTGGCTCTGGGCAAACTAGGTGAAATGAGTGCGGGCTTCATATTTCTCGCAAGACTCGTCTGAACTTTTGAATAAAATTAGATTAAGATTTGAGTAAAATTAGGGATTTTGTCTATTTTTTCGGTAACAAAAATCTATTCGTAACGGAAGTTAGGTTCGTGTTTGGTTTCCGGGATAGGAGATAAGAATGAAAGAACGACTGTTACGAGGCATTCATAATAAGAATTTTATGATCACGAGTTCCCGGGCAAAGTTAATTCGCCTTTAAGTGTCAAAAGATTCGCCTGCTACTCTGTAATCCGCATTTTTTTACTGCTTGCGACCGGTTGCACACGTTCTCGATAATTCTTTTTAGATATAAAACATATTGTTGAATAAGGCAGTGTGGCAAGAAGGAAGGATGATTTTCACCAAATCTTGTCACATGTTAGTTAATGGAAACAAAAATACACTCTTAAGTGAGGTCAATATTGTGGATTGATACAAAAAAAAAACGTATGAAATAAAGTTGCACCAACGATTTTTATATCGAATTTTTACTGTCGATCAATTTATCTACGTGTTGTACATATCACGGCTCACGTTACAAGATAAGCAACTTAAAGTAGATGTCTTAATATTAGACAACTCCACATAACAGTTACTAATTGGGTAAATGACTTAATATGCTCTCTCATAGGTAAGCATTGGCAATAGCAATAATAACAACAACAACACCGTCAACCATGTTTTTCATTAGTTTATGTTAATAACAGTAACTCAAAAACGAAACCTCCGCAAAGGTAGCGAAACTTCAGTACATAAAAATGAAAACAACAACAAAACATTAACTGAACGAGTTACAACATAAAACGAACAAAACAATAATAACAATTGCAGGATTGTATAAATAAGTTAAAGTTAGCACAATGAAAAGTAAAATATAGAAAAAAAAAAAAAAAACAGAAAACAAAAAACAAAAAACAAAAAACAAGAAAACAAAATCACAATACACAGCACAGTTTATTGCGGAACGCTTGAATGTGTTGGTAAATATTGTTTATAACAAATCGCATAAATTGTACATTGTTGTTATGTGTATGTATGTGTATGTATGTATGTGTGTGTGTGTGTGTGTGTGTGCATGTGTAAATGTAAATAATTTTTTGTTTGTGAGAGAGTGGTTTTGCGCTTAGTAATGTTTGCAGTCCATCATGTACTTGCAGGTACAGCAAAAAAATTAAGCAAAAAAACCTCAGCTTGTTGCTGCTGCTGGTTTTTTGTGTGTGAACTTAGTTTAGAAAAACGACATACATATACGCTTATATCTATATATGCATCATACAAACATAGGTAAGTGGTCCATTACAAACTTTTCATTTCAAATTCCAAACACATGCACACACATGCACACGTACACGCAAACGCAAATCAATTTTAGATAACGCTTTTTATAACCATAACACATAATCGCCGACTTAAGGTATATTAATCTGATTATCGCATATGCAATACTCCACAATGAGTTGATTGTGTCAATTTTTTCATTCTTGTTTTATTATGTGATAATCGACAGAGAAGGCGTTTTTACATCCAATAATAATTTAAAAGATTGACATTTAAATTTAACTAACTTCTGCTTTTAATCTTTGCGATTTATTGCTTCAATTTGCAAAAGCTGTAAATAGATTTACATGCGGCCGTCCATGCGTCCTTTCGATTGTTCTCAATTTCACAATTGTAAAACTTAAGTTAGAAAACTGATACTTGAAGCATACATCTTCATTCGTCAATCACACAGTTTAAGCTTAAAAAGAAGGCGTGACACTCCTTTCAATGTTTATTGTAAACACAATTGAAATTGCCTTTAAGACCCCGCAAGCTTCTGGAGATTTTTCGCAATAATTCAACTAGACATCGTTCTAAGATTACTGTACAAGTGTAAAAACAGTTATTTAACAGAGACCTGTTCTTCGCCGCACTGAGACTCAAATTTGATTTTTTTTTAATATTGGTTTTTTTTCTTCTACTGTTTACACATATCCGCCTGAGTTGAGTAAAACCGTAAATAGATTTACATATGTCGGTCCATGCGTCTACCGGGTTGTCTTTAGTTTCGTAAATCGTAAAAATTAAGTTAAAAAATGAATACTTGAATTAATGACCTCTCCACGAATCAATGACTTAGTTTAAGTTTAAAAAAGGGGCTTCGTTTGCTTGAAATAAACTTATATATATATATATATAAATATATATATAGAATGAGTTAATATTGTGTTTAAACAAATTTTTGCAATAATCCAAAGCCGATATCATTCCATTCCATTCCAAGCACAAATCAGCTTAGCGAGACATTCACAGTTAATAAATAAAAAAAAAAAAAAAAAAAAAAAATTAAAAAATTATTTACATTTCTCTTAAGATGATGGGTATCCGAAATTCGCCTCCAAGGCGAATATAGTTTTCTTGGTTTTTGCTTGTTTTTTTTTTTTTTTTGTTTCTATGGTTGTAAGAAAAACTAGTTAAACCACACATGTACACATACAATACAAACGCGTAATGCACATACTCTCTGTAGAGTATGTGCTTATTTAGATTTTCTAAACTAAGTAAGTTATGTTTTATAAGTTTTTAATGAAACAGCTTTTTTGTGATTATATAAAGTAATTAAAACAAAAAAAAAAAAAAAAATCATACACTTAAGGTTATTATTAATTCGTTTTCATCTTATATTAAAACATCTTTTATAGGTAGAAACAAACGCCCACTCACTTTTTTCTTTTAATAATTTTTTTTTTTTTTTTGTTTTATTCAATTCTTAGGACAGACTTTCAAATATCTTAACAGTAAATGAGTAGATTTCCTTTATATAATAATTTTATAGAATTTTTCTTTCAAATTTTTGAACTTTTATAACTTTCTTTAAAATTCACAAAAGTTATTTATATATATATATATATATGTACGTAGATTTTCTTTACTTTTTTTTTTTTCTTATTATATAAAACACTACTGAATTATTCTTAAGATCCGCTCGATTGTACACAATTTGTGAACTGTAAAGTTGTTGTAAACTTGCACAAGCAACGAGTGTCAAAAAAAAGACACACGAATACCTATCTATACACCATAAGTCTAAATCTATCCATAAGATACAAAATTCAAATATCGTCGCCGTTATACATTGAGTTCGTATCGAACCGCTCAGAGAGCCAACCATCAGCATAACTCTCCATTCATTCATTCATTCATGCATCATACCGACCGAATTCGATTACGATTGCAACTCGCGGCATCCATGAAGTTCATAACAAAAAAACTGGTTATGCTAAATAGGCTCTTTCAAGCGGTCTTTTTTGATTGAAAGAGAAAGAAATTCAAATGATAATCATTCGTTAACAATTTCCTTATATAATCGTTTATGCTCTTGTATTAATGTAACTGATTTTCACTACACGTGCTAAACACGCATGGTTGTAATGAAATGGATGCCTGAGCAACGCGTACTCTATAGATGACTCGAAATGAATTGATCAGTTCAATATTGCACAATAATTTGCTATTGCTAACAACAAGTTTTTTAAATGTTGTTTCCCCGCACTTCACTTAATTTATGCATTGTTCGCGTTTTCCCACCGTCATTACCTTCTTTGTTTTACCCACTTTCCTTTTACTTCCTCATAATCCTGAACTTGTTTTATATCTTTTCCTTTATCATCTCGCACGAACTGCGATACTATCATATGTGACGAATGACACTCTTTGTAGTCTAAGGTTTCAAGTGAACCTCCAAACTGGATTTTTTTATCCCAAGTGTAGCAGTTGGACGTATTTGTAAATGTTAGTATTTATTCGACTGGCGATCGAATGGTAAATGCTTAGAAAGAAAACAGTGATCTAAAGAGTTTAGCAATCCTTACATTACAAAACGGCTATACATGATCTTAGTCAGATCAATGTATGTCTCCGATGTGTGGCCTACTTCCTGTAGGTGCCACGTAGATTCAATAGACTCCGTTCAAGAACAATTCCTGCTCTTCACCCTTAGGAGTTTGGGTTAAGGCCCACTTGTCTCCTATCGTTTTTGTTAGTCTTGCCTTTCTCCTTGGTGCTTTGTTTCCTTCTTAGTTAAGTTAATAAGTACACAACGCTCATAGCCGTTGAAGTGAAGATGAAAAACGGCCCGAATATGTTGAGTTAAATGCCCCAGCGGAAAAGGTCTTTATTCATACATTTTGCAAAAAAAAATTTAATTTACAACTAACAGAAAATAGTGATTTAAAACTTCACACGAATAGGTATGAGGTGAATAGGTAGCAATTTTTGTGCGTTTGTCAAAGGCGGGACATTAAAGATTCTCCTAAGCCGTGCAAAACTTTTTTAATTGTTCTCTTAAGACATATATCACGGTCGCCATAATCAAATTCTAGCAAAGAGAAGCACAACCAGAACCCGCAGACTTCGAATAACTTGGCATAATTAACTTTAAAATTGTTTTCTGCTAGCAACTCTGCAACAACCTTGTTTATGTATTCAAGGAAATATAGATTTGTTCGCAATCATTTGGGATCATCTAGAAATAAGTCTAACGAGAAGATAGCAGCAAAAAAATCTAGCAAATGGTTGTCAAAAATATTCCAGCACTGGATGACAATAAGACGGACAGACAAAAGACAGAATGGATGGACATAGCGTGCCGATCGTTCGTGATGTAAACATAAAAAATAATCGCTGGTAGGTAAGCATATGGTGAAACCGCTTTCGGATGGTAAGTGTAAACATAAAGCTCAACTTTTGTAAAGAAAGTTCTTTGACGCCTTTATGCTCTCCTGAGATATATTTGATACTTGCTTACTTAAGTACTTTATGCGACTCTTCCCAATCGCATTGAAATGAAAATTGAAATTTTTCAGCAAAATCGTAAAACACCCTAAAAGAGTGACCTTTCTTTCGACAATAACAACAACAATAACAAGTTGCCCGATCAAGTCAATTTAAATGGCAAATTTTACTGTTCATATTGTGTCCTTTGATGAAAGTGTGCTGGAGCGTATCTTTTTTACGACTTCTCGACATAAAGATCGTTACTAATAATCGTTACATAAAGCAAAACTAGTAATTGATCATTATAAACGAAACTGGAAACACGACACGGATTGGAATTCTTTCTGTCAATCTTCCTATCGTATAAACGTTCTTGGAAAGCATAAGCTTTTGTCTAGCAACAAGTTTTAAGTTCTAGTATTTCAAGATCAAAATTGGTTCGATGTAAGCAACTGGCCCAAAAATTTGGGGAGAAATTATCTATTTTTTATTTCACTCCCTCACGATTTAATTATAAGCATTTGATGATGCAAACAAGTAAAGTAGTTTAGGATGTAACTAAACATCTTTAACTTTTAAAAGAAGGGTCTAAAGTGTTTCTTAATTGCCACTGGGACCAAAGAAGTCTACAAATCAACAAATATATTGAAACTGATTGAAATTTTTAAGATGAGCCGATTCTATATTGACTCCGTAGCCCTGATTGTATTTATTTTGCTATGTGAGCGCTTGTAAAGTTTTGTTGTTTTTTTTATATTGTCTTTAGTAAAAGATTGTCACCAAAGCGTGAAATGGTTTTTTAATATCTTTTAAGCAACAGTGAATGTCCCGAAGTGAACAACAATCAAAATCATTATCACAATTGATTCAAAATTAATGATTTGGTCAAGTGCAAAAATTTTCGAGACTTGCATACCTAATTAACGGATAAGTTTAATAAATAAACCAAGAACTGCTAGAAATTCTTTAAGCGAATATCCGTTAAAGAAAAACAAACCAATTATTTCTTTAGATAGGTTCAGCTTTCACATACCGTTTTACGTAATCGACCAGTTTCTTGTAATATTAAATTACAGTTCGCGTTCATAACTTATGTGCATAGGAAAAGGCATAAATAAATAATACAGTGGTACCTTATTTTACGCGGTTTGTCGTTCCACATCGCTTCTCTTCTTAAATATATTATTAAGACCTACACAAAAGCATGTGCGTTAGCTAACTTAGTATACACTGAAAATTGACTGCTCCAACTCCTATAATATGTTCTGTTATTTCCTTTCCAATTACAATTCCTCGAATGAGTATTGTGAACAAAGAATAAAGTAAATTTTTCGTTTCAATTTCGCATGCATTTCGCATACGGATAAATAAATAATTAATTAATAAATAAAATAATTATTCTTTTTTTTTTGCGTATTGGTAGCACGATCGTACACTATCGTTTACATCTATGCAGAGTTGCATGTGAATAAATTCAGTTATTGCAGACCCTGGAGCATCAGTCTCCAAAGCGTTTCTAGCCCTATAAAGGTAAGCAAAAACATACGTTTTCAGAAGTAAAAAGAGACAAATCAAGATTAAAAGTTTATAACAAAAACAAAAAAAAAAAAAAGGAAACACAATGATAAAAAAAACTTAATTTAAATGCAAATTACATTTTTGATTGACTAATGAAGTGAAGAATAAAAGAAAGAACATGTTTAAAAGAAGACGCAAGGAGGGAGGTCTCATTGACGCGATTAAACAGAGCAAAGGGCCTATTTAAATGCCTTGAGTTGACAAATATAATTTGGTCTTCTTCGTTCCTTATTATATAATGATCCCGTGAGCGTCAAAGGATCTCGACCAACAACCCATTGATCGTATGTTCAAATCTCACGTTCGAGAGAGCCAAGCAAGGAGTGCCGACTGCCCGAAAACAACTCACGCAAAAGATGAGCAAAGAGCGGAAAACCGTAGCAAAATCGCTTAAAAACTAAGATCATGTCGACAGATGCCAGACATCGATTATTTTGCGTTATGAAAGTTTAATCTAAATAGGTCAAGAGAGAGAGGAAGAGAGAATATTATATGGGATTTGGAAGAATATATAAAAAGTTTTCGTATTATAAAAAATTCACTCTTTTTGTTTGACCATAGCAGAATCTATACGAAAAAATTATATTCGTCACCGTTATCCTAAACGAGATTGAGAGAAAGAAAAAAATATAAATTTGCTTAATTCATAATATTGGGTGGACTTAGCTGATTTTTTCTATTTTTGTACAGTAATTTTATGGAAATTTATGTCGTGCATCTGTCATAGTTTATGAACAACGAGAAAGAGCCACAGAAAGCAAAGACGTTCTCATCTTTGGTTGTATAGACGCGTTGACCGTGTAGGCGTTTTTCTAAATGTTTGCGTCATTTTCAAAATCTATTGAAAATTTATAGGCGGTATCTTCTTTCTCACGCATTTGGTCACATAGACATATAGACGGAATAACGGAGGGACATGCTTATTTGCATTCCAAATTTGAAAGTGGCCAAGTATTTACATACCTTACGGAGTTTTTGAAAATTGCTTCTGCGCGTTATGAAGATGTTAAAAAAAAGCAAGTAAGAAAATTATATTCAGACGAGACCGAACTCTTTACATCCATCACCGTTATCCTAAAAAACACACAAAAAGTAAAATAACTAAATTTTCATCCTGCATAACATGGAGTGGTCGCGGTTGATTTTTTCTATTTTCAAAATAAAACTTTTTATCGTACAGGCATGTAGGCGCTGTAGGCGTGCCGTTGGAAAAGTTTAAGTCACTTCCACATTTTTTTGCAAATCTGTAGGCGATACCTTCATTTTCGCCAACGGGGAAATTTTTACCAAAGACGACAGACGGACATGTTTAGGTGGCTTACAAATCTGATATTGGCCCAGAGTTTATATACTTTTTGCGGTTTTTGAAGCTTGTGCCTGCGTCTACAAAAAATGTAATGTTGACACACTAAAATATTGGGTAGGCGTGGTCACGTTATCCCATTTTTCCTAACCGTTTCTATGGAATATGCGTTCAAATTTTTGTACATTGATAAAACAGAGCTGTTTTCCGTTAGCGCGGTGCTGTGACGTGTCCTTCGACTAGTCTGGCCCATTTTCAATTCCATCCTACGTACAAGAACTTTCAATGTTTCTGCCAAATTTCAAGCCTATCGCTTGATTTTTATAAGAATGGGAATGATTACAACAGACACTACACAGACGGATTGACGGACATGTTTAAGTGGTTTTAGCATTTGACGTTGATCAAGAATGTATATATACTTTGCGGAGCTTTGAAGTGTCCTCCTAGGCGTTGTAAACGCTTGTACCCCTCCTTCGAGGATGGGCACAAGAACCGCTCCCGGTAGACGCTGAAAAGTAACATTTCGAAAAATTAGCCTACCTTAAGGAGCTGAAAAGAATTGAAGTCATAAAAGAAAACCTTTTAAAAATACGCATAAAAACAGCGATACCTGTAGATGTAAATTGTATGCATATGTATAACAATTTATTTAATTTTATTATCATATTTTTTCTTTCCATGTTATAAGCATTTGAGTGAGAGTTAAAAAATAAAACATTTAAATGGCTTTTAATAATAATTATTGAATTGTTTCTCATGGCTTTTGTAATACCTACGATAGCATATATATGATGTCATTCGTGTTCCTTTTTCTTTATTTTTTTCGCAAATGAAACTATATTCACAACATTCGTAATCAATATGAAGATGATATTGAGTCTTATATTTTAAAGCTTGTTTGTATGGTGGGATTCTTTAAATCAATTACTAATTGATTTTAATGAAATGGTTATCATCAACTATGCGAAAAATGTCGTCACGGAAATGTAATAAATCGTCCATAAAGCGACGGCTGCTTTCGTTATGCAACAAGGTCATAACTGGTTTGATGTCTTCAATATCAGCGGTTGTCGCAAGATCGGTATAATAAAAACCCTTTATATAGCAGCGAAAAGAAATTCATTTAATTATAGAAAATACATTTTCTTTCTGCTTTCATCCTTTCGTTACCCACCTGTTCTTCGCCCATCATATGAGCTTGACGTTTTTTGTAGCCTTTGGCAAAGCGTGCATCCATTTGTTGCTTTGTATCGGTTAACATTTCATATTGGCTCGGCAATGTCTTTTGTTGGGTCCAAAATTTCATACAAAATCTTGCTTGTAAATCGCACATTTGTGCCGCACAAACATAATACGGTATACCGATGAAAGCCATGGACGGATAATTAATATTGATGCAATGCTTATATAAAGGCTGGACATAATTATCATCGACATGAATTCCACAATCGGTTGATAAGAAGGGAAAGGCATATTTGTAACCAGTGCAGTAGAATATTATCGAATATTCATCCATTGTTCCATCGATAAAATGCACTCTTCGCTCGTCCATATATTTCACGTCTGGCTTTTGATCGACATTGGAACGAAATGAAGTTTTCAAAGATTCTGGCAGATGATGACTTAGAGTAACTTTCTTAGCTACTTTGGAAATTTCATGACATAAATCCATGCCACTTGGACCGGCACCAATGATTAGAACCGTTTCGTCTACAAGAAACAATAATTTTTTAGATAATTTAATAGAATAAAGACACTGCCTGCCTTACGAACCTTTAAGGCGACTCGGATTTTTATAATCATGACTGTGCAGTTGATAACCTTTATAAATGTTGGCTCCTTCGATAGACGGATATAATGGCGTGTGATAATGTCCATTACAAACCATTACATAGTCGTACAGTTCGAATTTTATACTCTGCTTTTTCAAGTCATTGACAATCACCTGGAAACCGAAAGAGGAATGTAAACAATTATTACTAATATATATGGAACCAAACAAACTGAAATCGCTGCTATATTGTTTTGATTTGCAACGCTTGTTCGGTCGGGAGGTGCTTCATCGTAATCCCTTCATACTAGTATAAGTATAAGGAATTTATAATTTGTGAACGCTTGATAGTAATATAAGAATATATCAAATTTATATATATTAGCTAGCAACAAATCACTAAAGTTATATAATTTGTCAATAAAATGGACCTATGGTACATTTTTTATGAAAACATAAGCTCAAATTTTTCGATTTTCAATTTGTTAGGCAATCTTGATATTTATATGCTTGTGGCAAGTTGTGATACGGGGTGTATTAAGCTGGTGCAGGTGACTTGACGTAGGCTCAGCCCTTATTATACCGACCGATTCGGAATAATTCTCTGAATCGAATTAAGGTTGTCTATCCATCCGGCTGTCTGTCCATGTATTTTTGTAATCTACGTACAGGCCGTAACTTTTGAGACATGTTGATAAAATTTGACGTGCTTTTGCCCAATTGGAAATAGATCGTGTTGGACTGCATTTGCGGTCTTAACATCTTATTTTGAAAACGTGGTTAAATGGAAAAAATTATAATTTTTCAAATTTCTCGACAAAAATCTCCGAGTAATATCGACTTACTCAATTGATGTAAAAATTTGGATCATATGGAGCAATATTTTGAACCTTTGCTTCGAAAACTAAACCTTCGTGTAGCGAAAAGATCTAATTTTCAATATTTTGTTGTGAAAATTGAACCCAAGATAATAATTTGACACAAAGTGAATTGTACCAAATTTGAACGTTTGGGTCGATTTTTTGCAGTTCATTCCATACAAGGATACTAACAAATATTTGGAAATTAACACACAGGACAAAATTTAATTTGTAATTTTTTATGCCAAAAATTGGTGAAGTTTAGTAAAATCTTTAATAAATTCAACTTGCTAAATTTCGAACACACCAGTTCAGCTTGGACACCCCTTCTTTTAATGGCTTAGAGGTCATATCTTAAGGATTAAGAAATAGGTGAAGAAATTTTTCATTCTGTCTCAATTCTGGCGATTACGGAAATGTTAGCAGATGGATAGGAACACGTGACCAAATTCACGTAGAATCCCATGCTAATGAAAACATGAATAGTTTACGAGGTTTTTGAAAAAATTAATGTACACCTATTCCACGGAGTTAAGTTTCCAATCGATTAATTTCTATTATCATTTTTACTAACGAATGTAAAAGTTTGGGAGAGCCAGCCACAAATTCGAAAAATAGGTAAAATGTGAAATGTCGGCAAATTGCTGAGTGATAAAAACATAGTTACTTACAGTCGATTATAAAAGAAAGTTGTGTTCGCCTTCGGTATGTTTAGCTCTACGCTAATACCAAGCAATATTAAGATTAACTTCGTTTCTGACTACAATGTAAATATCACAGGTTGCTCACGCGCACTATACTTCTTTTGGTTTAAGTCTTGTTACATCGATCAGGCTTTCGATCGGATATATTTTCTACTGGTAAGGATGGCAATTTTCAAAAGTATACTTGCGGGAGCTATTTTGGAGCTATGCGGGAGCCGCCTTCTGATTGAATAAATTCCTAGATTACATTTCATATAACACAGGGATCGCATTTTCATTCCATTTTCTTGAAAGACAAATTGTTGCCCATCTAACTTCAAGATGTTCTACGATGGTGTTTATAATTTGCCCCATATTGTTTAGAAGAAAAGCAATCGTAAAAAAGTAAACGTGGTGTCGTATACTTTGTGTTGAGATTCATTCGTTCTTGGTTAAAGTGTAACGAAATTTCTACTTAATCTAATCTAATCTTAAACTTAGCAATGCTGTGCAAGTTTAAATGTTAGCATAACATGACTTGAGCATATTGCGGCATAAACGGCCGTTAATGGAATGTAGAGAAGGAATTCGCAGAGTCGTGTGTTCCTCCGCTAAGTCAAATGTGAACAAAGGACTAGCTCCCGCTTAAGTCGATAAAGGAGGCAATAGGTTGCTCTTCAAAGACGAGTATAGAGAAATATACCACCACACCAGCTTTCGCTATAACTTAACTTCACTTCATATATAAGACGAGTATGCTTCATATAAGTCTTCAAAAGAATATAGTATTTAACAAATATATTTATATAATAAGCTAAATGCGGGTGGCAGGAGCGATAACATAATCAAAGGCTCGTGATTTGTACAAAAATTTTCAAAACGAAAGCTTACGCATTGATTTAACTGTTTTACGCGTTGTCTGTTACGTGACAATAATGAAAAATGAAGAACTTGAGATCAAGGTTATAATTCTGAACGAAAGTTTTCAAATCACTAGCATAAGCAATGTAATGAGAAACAAAGTCAAAACTTTATAGCAAAGCAACGTCGACTACTAAATAGTCTACAACTCTTCAACCAGTAATATTCTTCATCCATCATCACCATGGAATATCAAAAATCACACTCCGTTGCTGCAAATTTGCAAATTTAAAATATGGAACGGTCGTATTCAAATTTTTCTCATTCGTTTTGGACATATGTCCAAATTACTATAATATTTCCCATCGATATTTCTCGAGAAATATTAAACAGAGAAAATTTTGTTCAAATAACTTTTCTAAATGCGTTCCTCTTAAATTGATTTAGAAATTTATTTCAATCTTGATTAGCATAATGGCAGACGGATCTATCTCAAGCACTTCTGTCGCGTTAATATCAACTCTTGTCACTTCTCACATCTTTTTGTCTTTTACGTGTCACAAACGAAATTCCAGATTTAATGTATCAATCGCAACAGCAAGACCAACGAGAGATTAGTGCACACTTCTCCCTTATCTTAAGCATTATTTATTATTATTATTATTAAACGATAATAACTGCTCAATACCCTTGAAGTTTCCCAATATTTAAGAGCTTGTTAAATATTTAGTTAACTTACCTGCCATTTATCTCTTTTCGGGATTATATTGACGACGTAATGCAGAAATTTTATACAATCTCTTAATTGATATTTATTCGTAAATTGCTCCAAAAAATTTCTGACAATTTCGGACGGTACATAAGAAATATCAGAAGCTTGAATTTGATAATCCGGATAGCCCATGACTTCTTTAGGTAAATTCGTTCGAAGTCCTTGATACATGCTACTATGGATATCCAAACCGTAATCGTCGGTACCAATTCGATCGGTATAAACCCAAGTGCCGCCAATTTTATCAGTTTGTTCATAAATCGTTGCGGACATTTTATTCTCTAAAACCCGACGGGCTGAGCAAAGACCAGCGGTACCGGCACCAACTATACACACACGTTTCATATTTTCAACTCAACTGATTGAATAACTAAAGAATTCATTTTATAGCGAGCCCATATACGCATAGATGCTGTAAACTGTCTATAACTATCTATACATTCATAATCAATTATGATAAGGCAGGCGAAGAGTTTAGCATGTATTTTATAATTAATAGTTCTTTTGTTTTTTCCTTTGACAAACGCATGCATATAGTTTATTATCTATGAGAGTATTTGTTTACACACGTTCAAAATGAAAACACATTTCTCTCATAGAGATAAAACGTACCCTTGTGTACTTTATCTCGTGGAGAGAGAGAGAGAGAGAGAGAGAGAGTGTGTGTGTGTACTGCAGCTCGCATTGTCACTGAGCCACTCACTACTGTTTTAAGAGTAATAGACAGAGAAAAAGTGAAAAGAACACAATTCGATCTTCTTGCGACGCTCGCTTACATAAACATACAAATATCTTTAGCAAAGAATTAAAGTTTATCAAGTTCACCAATGCGTTTGTGCCCTCGAAAAAATTTACAGCAGCAAGAATTTCAAGTATTCGTCCATTTGCTTCGGATTGTCCGATTTGAGTCAAATAAGCACCATTTTGTTGTATGATTTGCTGCCATTTTAAAGGTAACTTCAAAATGCCTCTCTCATAGAAGTCCTGGTCTCTGTTTGCAAAAAACTCTAGTAGTCGATTTTCACAATCCTCCCTAGATTCCAATTTTTAATCATTAAAGAAATTTTGCAATGCAAGAAAAAGATGATAATCGCTTGGTGCCAAGTCCGGACCGTATGGCGGATGCATTAAAACTTCCCAACCAAGCTCCCGAAGTTTCTGGCGAGTCACTGTAGATGTGTTTGGCCTAGCGTTGTCCTGGTGGAACACGACACCTCTCCTGTTGGCCAATTCTGGCCGTTTCTGATCAATCGCTATCTTCAAACGGTCCAGTTGTTGACAGTAGAGATCAGAATTTAGCGTTTGGCCTTATGGAAGCCACTCATAATAAATAATCCCCTTCCAGTCCCACTAAATGCATAGCAAAACCTTCTTGGCCGTTTGAGGTGCTTCACCGCTCTTTGACCACGATCGTTTTCGCACACGGTTATCGTATGTGATCCATTTCTCATTCCGTTTGGCCAAGGCTTCGCAGATGGAAATTCGATCATCCATCATGTTTTTTTCTGTTAATTGGTGTGGCACCCAAACATCGAGCTTCTTTTTGAGTCCAGCTTTGTGTGAATGGTTTAAAACTGTTTTATGGTCGATTTTTAGCTCCTGGGCGATGTTACGATTGCTAACATGCCGGGCAACTTCGATCATTTCTCCGATTTTATCGACATTTTCGACGACCGGCCTACCTGTGCGAGGTGCATCTTTAACATCAAAAATTCCTGAACGGAATCTACGAAACCAAAATTGCACATAATTGGCTGTTACAGTATCGGAACCATAAACACCATTCACAATTTTATCCGCCTGGCTTGCATTTTCGCCTTTGTCAAAGAAAAACTGTAAAATGTACCGAATTTTCTCTTTGTTCAGTTCCATTTTTAACACGCTGTAGCTCACAACTGAATGCACCAAACAAAAAACAGCCAAAGAATTTTTTTACTGCGAAATGTCACCTTTCCAACGAACATAAATATGGAATTGTTTGACCGATACTTTACGAAAAATCTATCAGTGCAGCCATCTACCGAAAAAATAATGGATTTCTTTTTCCCCAAGCTAATATTATATTCGTGCGAGTGAATGTAATATCTCGACATACCTACTATTTATTAGACCAATCTGTCCAGTGTTTGCGCCACTTGTGGTCCAGGATACATTAGATTTGTATAACACCCATTAGAACTTAAAATAGGCCCACTTTTTATTGTACCGATCGGTCCACAATCAGTTTTCGAACCGATTGAAGATCATCTGTTTTTCGGATATATATTCGGATATGTATCTTTGTGTTTAGCTTACAGGTTGCTATTTTTGAAATATGTTGACGAAATTTAATGCACGGACGTATTTAGGTTCAAGGACAAATCCTATTGAAAATGATTTGAATTGGACGACTTTTACGACCACTTCTCACTCGATAACTTATCAAAACAAAAAGAAAAACATGAAATCTCTATTTTTACATAATAAATGAACATGGAAAATTAGGATAAAATATCATTTTTGGAATATAATCCCGAATAACACAAACGCATGCTTTTCTAAGATAAGATTATATTCTGCACCACTTTTGGTACAGCGTAAATTAAGTTTGTGTGGGCGTATGTAAGACCCAGACGGTTTAAAATAGACCCACCTTTTAAGTTTATATGCCCATCTCTCCGC